TATTATTATTATTATTATTATTATTATTATTATTATTATTGTTATTATTATTATTATTATTGTTATATAAAATAAAGTATAAGATATGTTATCTAAATGTTATATTTGATTAAAACCGATCAGTAGAGGGTGCATGCTTAGTATATCTTTAATATGATTCTTTTTTTCTTTGTTTGATATCATAAAAAATCTGTAATATTTAACTGTGACATTAAATCTTTGAATTCACTTCATAAAGTGGAAACTGGAATATTTTTAATGTAAAATGAACAAATTTATTCTATGTATGTTTGAATATGATAAAACAAAATATTGAAATTGCATATATTACTTGCATATATTGTATTATAAGGTTTCATTTTTAATAGTTTGAAAATACTCAAAATACAGATTATTTTATTTAGTTATTTATTACATTGATAAAGAACATTTTTTTAATGATTTGATATTCAATAGAAAATAAGTTAAATGAAATAATATTATTTTTAAGAAAATAACAAGTTCAAATAATTAGTATGTAATTGTAAATATTATGAATTTAACTTAACTATTCTATTGCAAAGAATTTATTATAATTCATTAATCCCTCTACTGAACGGAAAAAGCAAGAGTGTGCGTTATGGAAATTCGTTTTTTAATTCACATCTTAATTCACAAATGAAAAAAATATCTGCACAATGATTTAACAAATAAAGAAAAATACTGATTCTTAAAGGCAATCGTATAATTAATAATTATAAATTATAAATTATTGTATACGTATATTTTAATCTAAAAATCTTTTTCCCTTTTGGATAATTTTTCTAATTTTTCAATATATATACGTATATAAATGTTCATTTTAAATACTGCTAAAATGATTTTTTTTATTTGTTTTTAGTTGAATTTCTCTAAAGCTTTTCATGATATTCTAAATTTTATGAAAAATTAAGGAATTTGTTTTGCTATTTAAAAATATACGAAAAAAGAATTAAATATTACTTATATTTTAATCACGATATTATTAATATTAATTTATTTTATTAATATTGAGCTTTGTCTTCAATCTAAATAAATGTACATCTTAATCAAAAAGATATTACATTTTCTTAAGTCACTCATTATGTAAGATTATATATTTTAAAGAAAAAAGATTAAAAATTGGAAAATATGATAGAATCTAATACAATTTAAAAAGTTTATATTTTATTTAGAGTGAAATAGAAAAATTAAAACTTTTCTATGTTTGGCTTATGCCAGTTGTATTCTATTGCCCATATTCATAATGTTCTTTCACGGTCGAAAAAAGAAAAAGAACAAAATATTCAGTTGTTTGTAATCTTCATCTCTTATTTATTTAGTGAAAATTTTTCTCGGGAATGATAAATTATAAACTTTCTAGAACAGACTCATTTAATCGCAATAAATTTCTGATTTCTGTCTTTCTCAAAATAAATATATTTTTTCAATTATTAATCTTGAAAATAATTACGTTATCAATGTAATGAAATGTTCAAATAAATTACAGATTATAGATCAAAGGCACTATTTTCAGCTGTGAACACCGGCACATTAGCTTTCATTATCTTTTTTTTACTCACGCTAATATATTTTCTATTTGTGTAAGTAACCACTCTCGCTCGCAAATCGATTTATTTCATGGTCATTCCAGTCTAATTCTATTTAAAATTAATTAAGAGATCCGCACCGAAGCTTTTGCACTGTAATGGACAAATCCTATGTTACAAATCAATGTATCACTGAAATAGGTCTAGTTGTAATGTTATTCTGAAGTTTAATATTGGTTTATCAAGGTTATGTCGAGTAATCATCTTCTAATTGTAACAATATAATAAATTCTTGAGCGATTTTGCTAAAAGTTTTAAATTGTTAAAAAAAGAAAGAAATAATTAAATTTTGAATTAAAGCGATACAATAAAATAATGCTATTTAAATTTCAATGAATTTAATTGAAAAAAAAAGAAATATTATTTTTTTATTATGAAAACATGTAGAAAAAAATAAAATCAATTAAAGAACTCTGTTGATAAACAGAATTACTCTTTAATTAACCTTGAACTGAACTAATATTCATGAATTCTAATAGAAAATTTCATTACAATCCGTTAATTATATATTGATCTTACTATCAATTAACGGTGCTATTCACTATTTTATAAGAATACTTGACGTTAAGTTCACAATGTGCTTATATTTAACTAATGATTTACTGAGATAATTTAATATGCAATAGTCATTTAAATACATTGATAGTTATTCTTACAGAATATTTTCAGCGAAATCAAACTCTAACCTTAAATTTACTCTGCTTATTTATTGTCGGAAATTTAACATTTAATATTCCATTGATATTTAGCTTAATTAGTATTTTAACTATTTTTGATACTATGCATTCACAAAATATTCTATTTATATTATTTCATATGATTATTGTTACTTTTATATTTTTTCTTATTATTTTTCTTTTCTTTTTGCATTTTATAATTCATTGCGTTTCGAGAAGTTTGAAATGCAAAGATAAATGAAACTTATTTAATTAAGTATCTTAACTTTGCAAGTTTGTTAATTTTGATTTTACAACGGGATAAGGGGAAGATATATATTGAATTTATTTCACCAATGGAACGGTAGTAATTGAGAAATGAAACATATTGAAACATATGAGGGTATAATATCAAGGATATTATGTCTTGCGTTGCATGTACGAGCTATTCTCGGTTTCTGCTTACCAATCTCTATTATCTTTTAAGTTCTGTTTCCATGCAATCGTATTCCGCGGATTCTGTGTATTCAAGTCATATCAAAAATAATATTATACAACCAGCAGGTATTATTTTTAAGTATAGTTTTCTTCCTCAATAATAATTAATGATGAGGCACTTTTTAGCTTTTCTAAAGTTATTTTTGTTTTTTAATACAACTAATATATTAGATTGGTATTTCTTAAGATCAGTTTTCAATGATTTCTTACATAGTCTATATTTGAGACAACAAAATTATTGAAAAAGTTTTTTTAAGAAGTTAAACTATAATTATATTTTTTAGAAGTTAAATTATAATTATTGCGCTTTTTTCTAGGAAAATTCTAAAAAAAGAGATAATTTTAATCAGTTAAAAAGTGCCTAAAGGTAGAGCGGTGTTACTCAAACCGGGCCATAAACGGGGAACACTAAAAAAATTTTTTTTTAATCGATATTTCGAAAATTGGTGTACTAGTAAGCGCGTTAATTGCTCGTTGCATCTAGTTATAACCATGATATTATCCTTTGCTCTTGAAGGTAATAGGTGGCGAGTTGCAGGAACGTTTGATACCAGTACCCTACAGCAAGAGTTCGACAGACCAAGCTGTAAGCGCTCCTCTCTGCTCTATCTTTCTTACTTTCGCTAAATCTTTATCTTATTTCTATCTATCTGTCTGACTGCTGTCTGTCTGTCTGTCTGTCTGTATCTATCTGCCTATAACTGTCTTTGTTCTATGTTCGCACAAGCATATACATATATAACACACATGCAATCGTTTACACATATAAATACGGAATTTTTCTCTGCTTCTCTTTCTCTTTCTCTATTTTCCTTAAATTGTTCTGTTTTATTATTTATCCAATGTTTTTTACTCGCTTTCTATGTGCCATCTATTTGTTGCTGCTTTTATCTGCCTTTTAGATTTTCATATGCTTTTTTTCTATTATTTTTCTGTACTTTATTTTTAATTTGTAAATTGTAATATTAATCCCTTAATTTTTGCATTTCTACTCAAATACAATCTGAATCAAATACGTTTTTTTAAGTATAAGATTTAATAATAAATTTTTGAAAGAAATCTAATTTGAAATTTATTAAAGATTATACAAAGATTAGCAATAGTTTATTTTTTATAATATTAGTATTCTACAATTACAAATACCTTTTTCTATATTTTTTATCATATTTGAATCTTTTCTCTTATCATGTGTGAATTTTCCTCGCGCACACATTACATAGTTATACATTTATCATAATTATTATAATACAAGTATGCACATAAGCTTTTATTTGTCCGCTTTTTTATTTATTAAATATTTTTCTTTCTTCGTGAATCTCGATACCTAGTGATATTATGATTCATTCTATATTTTTTATGTATAGATTTAAAAAAAATATATAAATTTAAAAATTTTTCAATCATGTTCCAATTATTTAATTAGATTAGTAATAAAATTAATAACTTTAATTCAAGTAAATTTAATAAGTTTAATAAAATTTTTTAAGACTTAAAGATATATTATCTATTTTGTTATAAAGGCACTATTATATTTTTATTACATTCTTTTAATGAAATAGTATATAAAAACATAATTTCCATCTTTTTCTTTACAATTATATTTCATAAAAGAGAAAATAATCACTGGTGTCGAGAATATATAATTTCTTACTGATATATCAATGAAAAAAGTTTTTTTTTTAAATAGCACGCTACACTTTACTTTTTATCTTTACATTTTTACTTCGTATCTCACAATTTTATCCTATTTTTCTTTCTTCATTCTTTTATAAATGACAAAAAATAAATTAATTCGTTTTCGTTTCGATAAAAAAATAAAAAAGATATAATTTAATAAAATATTAAAAATGATTAAAGTGTAATTAAATCATAAATATAAAATTATTATTAAATTTTTTAGGTGAAAAAAATCTGGTGCAATTTAAAATTCCAGAATTTCATTTTATTAACAGATTTATGATTACGCACTGAAAATAAAGAAACTTAGTAAATAAAAGAAATAAATAAAAATAAGTAAAGAAATAAAATCTGAAAAAATCAAGTTAGATTTATGATCTTGAGATATTAAGTATAAAGTCACTTTTTTGCATTATGGAATTTTTGGAAACTTTGGAATTATTTTCACTAAGCAATTAATATGGAGGAAAAACTAATCGATAAGCATTACTATTTAAGAAAATATATAATCTGATAATTTCGTTAATTAATATATGTTAAAGTCTATCATCAATCATATAATTTCTTTATCTCCAATAATTCAATTATTAAGTGAAAAAAAATTAATATCAATATAAAATGATTAAATATAATCAGTTAAGATTAATAATTTTTTGTCGAAACGAGACTCCTTATTGTAAAATTCATTGATAATGGGTAATTTAAAAGAAACATTTCTTTTAAAGGATATTTTTTTCATCTTTCAATAAGATTATTTTTCTTATAATTACGGAGTGTTTTTATGTCCTATTTTACAAATCTGCTGTAATTAATAACATTCGCTAATGACCTTAAGAGTGATCTTTTTTATATTTAATGGATATTTCGCTGAATTTTCGGCTATGCTTACATGCAAGCAAGTAGTATGATACCTTTGATTGTATTTATGATACGACGTGGTTCGCGTAACTTTATTATTCTTTTCATTAATTATTTTAATCTTCGATATAATAAAGTTAATTGAACTAATGTGTACTGAATAGACTTAAAAAAAAAATTTCAAGAAAAAAATACTATATTTTTTCACAATTTTTATCACACGATCCACGTCGTGTTCGTAGGCACGTTACTATTGTTCCATGCATTACGGCTGTACCATGAATTTTTTGTTTATAATTATATTTTTTCTAAATGAATATATTTTTGGCCATGGGCTATTTACAATAAATCTGAGACTTATATAAGATGTATCATATATTTAAATTAAAATTTCTAGCAACGCCATATGCGATTGTAGTGTCCTTTTTTGCGACACTACACTAGATATATTAGATGCAAATAGGCAAACTTGTGAAGGCTTCTGTGATTTTTTTTGTTATATTTATTAAAGCCTAAGGATAATTCTACAAAGATAATATAAAGAAATAGTTTTACAATAATGTTGAATAAAGAAAAACTATTTTTTTTCTTAATAATTCAATATTTATCATGAAAATAAAGAAGCGAAGATATATTTGTAAAACACAATATAATTTTTGTTGGCTCATATAAATTTCTTAAAGTCATCAATCAATCCATAACATGTTTTTTTTTATGTCAAATAACTTAAATATAGTTAAATGACACATAATACATTTTAATACTTTTTCGATGTACTTCGGTGACGCATTGAGATCTCTTTTTTGATAAAAGATCCTTCTTTATTTCTCTTTACCATATTCACCTTCTCTCTCTCTCTCTCTCTCTCTCTCTCTCTCTCTCTCTCTCTCTCTCTCTCTATCTCTATCTCTATCTCTATCTCTTTAATAAATCTATACACTCTGGCTGATCCTCGCGGCACGATTGATGCGGCTTCCCTCCAAATTTTGACACTTTTTTATCGATAGTTAATAAGCTTGAAAACAATATTGCTACGCATCAATTTTTCCAAGCTTTCACAAAAAAAAATATATACTGATTTCCATTGACTTATTTTTTTACTTTTACAACTATTTTTTCAAGTTCAAAGAAAAAAATAATTTCCGTCTTGCATATGCCTTGTGCATATGTATCTCTGTTATTCGGTAATGAGAGTAGAGAGGGCAGGCGCGTCGTTCGTCATGCGGGGAATCATCAGAGATGACATGTGTCGATCTGTGAGCTACTTATAATATAAGTGAAATGAAAGAGAGAAACATGACGAACTGAAAACATGACCAAATTTGTGGGATGACCATTGTCTCCCTGTGGAATGCAGAATCGTTGATCAACAGAGCGCATTGCGCAGCGTAGCGTGCATGTTTAAAGTACCAGAGAGACGCATTATCTAAACCGGATATCCGACCAGGTTAAAGAGTCTGACTGTCAGCCTGATTAGGGGACCATTCTCCACGACACATCGTGTAAGTATTCCCTCAATGTTTTCTGTCAAACAAAACAATCATATGATCAGATTTAAAGAAAAAAAGAATAAGATAATTTTTAAAAATACACAGTGATTTGTTAACGCGACATATTTTCCTGCCATCTCTATGAAAATGCAAGGAAGGAAGAAAAAAAGAGAGAGATTCAGTCTTTATATGTTTTCGATTATCTTATGAATATATATATATATATAGAATATATTTTATATATTTATATTGTATTTATATATAATATAATAGTATAATATATTTTTATATATATTATATTATGTGTTTATATATTTATTTATATTTATAGAAATATTTTATACATTTATGTACATGTTAAGACAAGTAAGAATATAAATAATCTCGCAGATATTTTCGGATGGGGGTTGTTCTTTTTCTATACAGGGGTAAATTTTTTTGGCTGATTTAAATATAGCAGTGTTCATCAGTTACGTAATATTACGCCAATGCATGCTAAATTTTTGCAGTTTGCAATCTGTCACGCTGTATTACAGTTCACCAAACGATGCAAGTGTATATGCGTGAAATTTTAATAATTTTTTTTCTTTTAAGATTTGATATTGAATGTAATACCAGCTTTTAATCGCGTATATTTTTAGTAGTGTGTTTTTGCCGATAATGTATCATTTGTTATGTTGGCTTGTTTGAAAATATTTCTAAAAATCTCAAAATTTTTTTTTTATATTTTTTCAAAGAAAGTTTTTTTAATAGATAGAATTGAAATTATGCTTAAAGTGAATAAGTTTTAAGCGTCGCATATCCGCTTTCTGCATCGATGATCGCATATCTGAAGCAAAAATTGATCTTGTCAAATATACATGGGAAGGATCCAGTGAAGAACTCCAGCGATCAACGGGTGCACGTTGTAGTGTTGCGTGACATTGCAAGTATAATTTGAGGTTGTGACGTCTATGGTTTATAAAATTAATTGCCTTAAAAAAAAAGAAAAAAATCTAAAATTATTTAAAAATAATTATAAACTATTTTAAATACACAGATTAATTTTTTATTAAAGAAAGAACTGTAAATATCATTGACGTCGTTCTTCAAATTCTATTGTCTAACTATTGTCTTGCTGTGCAGGGTATCAACGCCCCGCTAGTTCTTCTAGTAATTGTGGCCGCTGCTTTCTGTCTTCATATATACACATAATTATAATTATATATATCTATATCATAACTGTTTCCTAATCTGTTTTACCGAGGTTGATCATTGTATCCGTTAAAAAGATATTAAACTATTTGTTCCCTTAACTTATTAAAAAATTATGCTTTTCATCGCATCATTTAATGTTGCTTTTAAGCCACATGCATTTTCTCATCGACATTTTTAAAAATTTCGACATCATTTTTTAAAATTTGTAAAAATAGTAAAATAGTAATTCTACTAACAATTCTATTCATTCATATTTAAATAAAAATATTAGATAAAAATAATATTTAATGATTAAATAAAATTAAAAGATGTCGATGAGATACAATAGGATAAAAGATCAATCTCAATTACTTAACTGGATTTATCTAACAGTGTATTTCTCCCAAAGCTCATGGCATAGCCAGGGACATGAAAACTCTGTATTTACAGAAAGATTTCCGATTACAGATCCGCGTAGTGAACGCATTTCGGCAGGGCCTAGACGCACGCTACACGAGCGAGCACAGCAGCACTACATTGGCGGAGGTACTGAGAAAACAATCGTCCTTAAGCAAGCGGCTCTCGCAAACGAGCAGCATTGAATACGCCGATAACAACCCAGACGAACTGACCATACCCGAGATAGACGTGGAAAGATTGTCAAGTCACAGTCATACCGAGACCGCTGTTTAGAATGGGAGAAGAATGGCGGGATCAGCAGCGATATGTTTATCAAGCTGTGTTACGTTCGATCCTCTCTGACGATATGCAAACACGGAAAAGAAGTCATCTTCATCCTTGTTTATCTCGTGGCCAGCGCGTTCGGAGGAAAGGACAAAAAAATAAGAACCATATATATTGATTCTCCTGAACGAGAATATAAAAAGGGGATCGTATTCCTAATCTAAAAAAAAAAAAAAAGAAAAAAAAATATGAATCATGATGCGAGTTAGGTCCTCGTCATTTTCTCTCTTTGTGTTTTGTTATGATAGTCGATAATAGAAACGGACGATTGAATCGCATGTCGGTCATAGCGTGTTCAGAAGGAGAGAAAAAAAGAGAAAGGGAAGAAAGATAGAAATAATGATGATGGCCTTCTGCCCACGAGACATCGCCACGGATATCTTAACTGATCCGTGCGAAACACCAATTATAAGATACCAAAGTAACGCACCACTGCCTTTCCTCTGTTATTACTTATGTTTCCTTTTTTTTTTTTCTGTCCTTGTTTCCCCCGCTCTTTGCATCTATCTTTTTCTTCGTCAAAGATTCTTTTATTTATAATTTTTTTTAATTTTAAATGATAATTTTGAATTGCAACAGAGGTGGAGAGAGCAAAGAAAGAACAAAAACAATTAAAATTACTAATAAGAAAATTATTTTCATTGTTATGATTTACTTAAAATCATATTTTCATTTATTTTTTAATTTAAATCCCATGTTATATATTTTTCTTTTGTCATTTTTTTTTTTTTTTTTNTTTTTTTTTTTTTTTTTTTTTTGACTTTTTTCAATGTCTCTCCGCCATTCTATTCGTCACTGTTCATTGACTTCTTTTCGCGCCACTTTTACTGCCATGTTATTTCTCTTTCTAATTTTATTTTCTATCTTTTTAGTCTATTTCCACCTCGCACAATACTTGCTATACTATTTTTTCTTTTTCCTGCTTTTTCCTTTCTATGTTCTTTCTTATTTCTTTTTCTGACATCTCAATCTATTTATCTATCTATCTACCTATATATCTACCTATCTATCTATTTAACTATTTATCTGTCTATCTTTGTTTCTCGTACTCGCTCTTCTCGCGTGACTTAAAAATGATCTAGTCACTAGTTTGTATTGCTAAATACTTCCGTGAATATACTCAGCACTGGGGGTGCCTTACAAAAAAACAAAGTCAAAAAAAAAAAAAAAGAAAAAAAAATTAAAAAGAATTGCGCATTGTTTTTTAGCCTTACTTCGCGTGTAAAATGAGATTTGATGAAGGATAAAAAGGATAAAAATTACAAGAGAAACGAGATGAGAGAAAAATTTGTCATACTGATTCTTCTTTGCTACCTTCGCGTAATTAAAAAAAAAAAAAGGAAGAGGATGGGGGGACTAACGGAGAGAGTATTTAACGACAGTAAAAAAAAGAAATAAAAAGAATTAAAAGAAAAATGAATGCCACGACATTGCCACTAATTACGCTTAAGTCGATACGAAGATCCTGATAGTAAAGACGTTAATTATGCCACGATATAAAATCCGCATGTATTTTTAGTAATAAATATATAACTACGATTTACTAAAGAAAAAATCATCAAATATGTTTTTTCGACGAGACACTTTTTTTTGTTCATTGCTCGCCAAAAAAATATACATATATGTATATATACAAAAATATAAAAAGATCTATCTGGCTCTACTATATTAAGATCATCACGAATTTGATATATATATATATATATTTCATTTTTTTCTTTTTCGTTAGCTTTTTTTATATAAATTATTTAAAAATTGTTTTCTCTCATTTTATATTACGTGGCTATACTGTAATTATTCTCAGGACCTATCGATTTCGATCGAGAACGAAGCGTGCATGTCGACCATCGGTCGAGATTCTGATCGATATATCGATACATCTCCATTATCCGATGCTGATCGATTGCGTTTCGATCTTCGACAGCACGGATCGATAATCATGTACGTCGCTAGAGGGATAGAACTTTTATGTTGATGGAACCAGTATTCATGTTATCGGATTATAATTATTATCGTAACGCCGATAATAAGTATTACTTCAAGCCGAATATAATACGTTATACTTTTTTAACTAAACCAAAAAGAACTATATACGGGAATCGCTGCCAAATAAAAGGAAAAATGAGATAAAAAATAAAAAACGTGACGCGTGTTTACTAAGTCTCCATGAAGTCAGTAGCCAATATACGTGTATATATTTATATGTATACCCAATTAATATATTTGTGTGTACATATATGTATATATATATGTATATATATTCATTTGAAATATGTATATGTAGCTTTCTGAAATTCGTTTGATGTGTGTGTGCTGATGTAAAAAAATAAAAAATAAAAAATAAAAAAAATAAAAAAAGTAAAGAAAAAAAAAAAAAAGAAAACGCGAAACGTGAAAGAAAGATAAATGCGAATTTTTCCCTGAGTAATATAGAGCGACGATAAAGTGATTTCATTTTTATGTACGCTCGAGACACGGGAGCTCGTTAATTCGTCGTTGCGTTCATACGAACAGATTTTTTCATAAGTCCGTTAGGTAAAACATAGGACTTAATTTTGGAAGAGAGAAGAAATAATGAAAAGGCTTTTAAAGGCCTATTTACATGCACCGTATTCTAGTCTTAAGCACTCTATGCCTTACACTGCCAGTTATAAAGACGCGCTATTCTTGTGGATATCTGTAAATGGTACACACACACATATATATGTATATGTATACAACAATGCCATTATCGCCAATACTATCGTCATCCTTGCTGTCATTGTAATATCGATTTCATCATATTGATCATGTGCATCATTTTCGTTTTATGGTTTCTAACTTTTTTCTTCAATTTATCTCGATTATTTTATTATTATTATTATATTTATAAATTTTTCATTTTCATTTCATTTCTCCTTTTTTTATTATTTATTTCTATTATTCTGAGTGTATAATTTCATTTGAATCTAATTTTTTTCAACATTATTTCATTATCTTTATTTTTTTGTCTAAAATTAATTATACGCGGCTTTCTCTCTCTCTCTCTCTCTCTCTCTCTCTCTCTCTCTCTCTCTCTCTCTCTTTCTCCTCCTCCTCCTCCTCCTTTTCTTTTCTTTTCTTTTTTCCTGTCATTCTTTTATTTGTCTGTTTTTGATTTTTTACTCAGAGCTTAAAGATGCACAAAAAAAAGAAAACAAAACAAAACATATTTTATGGAAATATTAAAAAAAAAAGAGAATAAATAAAACTGCTACTAATTTCACGTAGACTTTGATAGGCACGATCGCGTCTCACGAATGATTGCCCACGATATATCAAATTAATTTTGAAATAAGTATAGAAGCAGGAAATTAAAAACAAAACTGGATTACGAAAAATGAGCGTCGATCGTGGTTCATTACGGTCACGATCATTGTTACAGTGGACATCGAATATTTTAGGAAAAAAAAAAAGAAAAAAAATTGAGTAAAGTAAAAAGAAATTTAAAAAAAAATAACACATACATACACGAACACATACATACAGGTTATCGATACCTTGCTGTTATCGAAGTTTCTGTATGCTCGGTACCACTGTTCTCGTTATTGCCGTTTTCTCACCCCATTGTCATCCTCGCTATGTATTATATGTTTTACGTTTCTTTTGTCCGCCGTCGAGATCGCACCGATCATCCGAATGAATTAAAAAAAAAAAAAAAACCGAGATAAAAAATAGAAAAAAAAAAAAAAAAAATGAAACTCGATTCGTCACTCTCGTCCCGTCCCTAAATTGCATTAAGCACCTTTTTAAGCTCCGATTGTTCTTACTCTCTGTACTCTATATTTAAACGCATTTCGCGTCTATTTAAGATTGTGTAGAGTGTACAAAATAATATCGTGCAAAGAACGAAAAAAAAAAAAAAGAAATTGATAGTTTCGATAGCCAAAATAGAAGAGAGTGAAAATTAATAAAAATGTAATGAAATGCGCTTTTCCTCTCTCGATAAATCGATGTTATCGGATAATCATGTTACAAGGATAATAGAGAGAGAGAAAAAGAATGATTCCATGAGAACGATTCCTCATGGAGATCG